ATAAGATATGCCATACTGCCATATACAGAGGAAATTATTGGCGATTACCAATGCGGCTTTAGGCCTGGAAGATCAACAATCGACCAAATATTTACTATCAGACAAATGGTAGAAAAGTATTGGGAATATAATAAAGAAGTACATCAGATCTTCATAGATTTCAAACAAGCATATGATTCCATAGATCGCTTAAAACTGTGATCTAGAGCAATGATGGAGTTAGGCGTACCAAAGAAGCTGACCATGATTGCGCGAATGTGTGTCAACAATTCCTTTGCACAAATAATGGGAACGCAAAATACTGCGAATTATATATGGTCCTTGCAGGGACAGCGTGACAAATGAATGGAGGATCAGATACAACAATGAAATAGAGACTCTCTTCGGGAAAGGAAACATCGTAAGATACATAAAAGCCAATAGATTAAGATGGACAGGCCACGTGGTACGGAGTGATGACGACAGACTGATTAGCAATGTGTTTTGGGAAAGACCAGATGGTAAAAGATCGACAGGAAGGCCTAGAAAAAGGTGGAAAGACGCAGTCAGGGAAGACCTGGAGAAGATGGAAATAAGGCCATGGGAAATAATAGCACAGGATCGGAATCAATGGAAGGCAATAGTAAACGCGGCAAAAACTCACGAAGAGTTGTAAAAGCCAATGATGATGATGAAATACAATTTTGTTAACAAATGCAATAGGTCAATACATCATTAACAAATTCAAGTAGTCAAATACATTATCGTGGCTGAATGGTTCAAGTATCCAAAGCCATTAATTAAATAAAAAAATTATTAGTTAGAATGTAAAGAAAATTAAAAACAATTACATAGTTAACTTTTTTAGCTGACTTTTAACTTATAGAAATATTAGTACAGCAGTTAGATTTGATAGGCGAGCAAAGGGTTAATAATAGTATGATCTCAGACAGAAACATAAAAGAAATGAAAATTATTACACCACATAAATTCTAAGAAAAGAGATGAAAAATTAATCAAAAATATATGACAAAAGAAGAATGAAATAAAACACAAATACAGAAAAATAAGAGAAATTATAATAACTGTAAAAGAAAAACGAAGATATCAAAGTTAATTTTTATTGGCAAATATATATTTTCATAAGCAGTCCTTTCTCTATAAAACACTTAGAAATTTAATTTGCGATAATATCAGAAAAATAAAAATTAGACATGTTTAACAATGCAGTCGACTTTTGTAGGTCGGTTGTTCTTATATCTGATACAATTAAAAAATATTTCTACTTGAGTAGCGACTAAATTTCTCTTTGTTATGTTTTAGTACACCCAATAACGATTTAAACTCGTCAATTAATATTTATATCAGCTTTTACTATCACTAGAAACTGGTAATATTAAAGTTTTAGTGGCAGCCGTTATTTTCAACAAATGTTTTTAACATCTGCTGAAGTTAAAATGATAATCTGCTATAAAAAAACATAAAATATAAATATTTGATGACATTATTTACTTTTTTTCTTATTTTTTAACATAGTTAATGATTATCTGTAACTATTATATCAATTTTAGTGTATCTCAGATAGGCTAGATGAAGACGAAAATGCCAGGAAGTGGAATCATGTGAAATGGAAGGAAGTCTTCAGAGGCTTAGAGATTCTTACGAAACCTAAAGAGAAAGGTGATAAATGTAACAAACTTATAAACCATCGACATCAGTGTATTTAAATGTCACTAAGCGAAAAAACTGTAAAAGTCCAGACCTGAATTTCTTCAACAAACACTTAGAACATACCAAATCCATGAACCAGACAGTAACGTGGGAGATGATCTAACTGCCAAACCAATAATACCTATTAAAAATAAAACATCCTTTGGACCAAAAGGAGTCTCTGTTAAATTTTTGAAAAATGCAACAACGCTTGTTAATATGCTTGCAGAATTTTTAGTAGGTTCATAAATAAAGATAATAAACCTCAAAGCTGAAAAGAACGCAAGATTACACTAATCAATAAAAAATTGGAAAAAAGTAGAAGGTAGAAAGGTAAAATAACTACATCTGCATATCAGTTATTACTATACTCAGTAAATTAGACGGGTCCTATATAAAGATGATCAACGCCAAGAGTTTGTTAGCCAAATCTCTGACGAGGTGGAAGAAGAACCTGATATACTCGAAAATGAAGTAAGACAGGCTATCAACAAGCTCAAATATAACAAAGCACCAGGTCCAGATATGATAACAGCAGAAATGCTTAAAGCCACAGAAGAAACCGGCGTAAAGTTACTTCATCTACTCTGTAACCAAATATGACATTCCAAACAATGGCCTGAAGACTGGACAAAATCTACAATAACGACCATACATGAAAAAGGCAGCTTCCATAAATGCGACAATTATAGAACTATCTCTCTTATATCCCATGCCAGCAAGATAATGCTACATATAATCAATGAGAGACTGAAAACATTCCTTCAAAGAGAAATTCCACAAGAGAAAACTGGATTTACCAAAGGTAGAGGCACTCGAGAACACCTGCTGAATATAAGACAGATAATCGAGAAATCTAGGGAATTCAACATCCCACTATACATCTGTTTTATAGAATACCGTAAAGCGTTCAACAGGGTCAAGTGGAGACACTTATGGCGAATACTAAAAGAAGTAGGCGTACCACAACATCTAATTACGCTTGTAACTGAACTATATGAACACACTACGAGATCAGTTAAAGTACTTGACACACTTTCGAACGAGTTTCATCCAGAACGAGGTGTCAGACAAGGATGTATACTATCTCCATAATTATTCAACATATATGGGGAGTATATTATGCGAAGAGCACTTGAAGGATGGGAAAAGGGCATCTCAATAAATGGTCATAAACTAAACAACCTACGTTTCGCAGATGACACAGCCCTTCTTGCAAATAGTCAAGCAGAGCTGATGGAACTTATACGACTGATCGAAAACGAAAGTCAAATATTTGGTCTGCAATTAAACATATCAAAGACAAAGATTATGATAGTGGATAGACTAAACAACAATCATCCACACATAACCACAATTGACCGGTTCGAGGTGGTGAGCTCATACTTATATCTGGGATTATTAATCGCAAACACAGGGTCATTACAAGAAGAGATTAAACGTAGATGTGATCTAGAAAAAGTTGCCACAGCAAAAATGACCAAAATATGGAAGGATTGTCAAATTTCAAGAGCGATAAAGATGAGGTTGATCAACTGCTTAATATTCCCAATACTGACCTACGGATGTGAATCTTGGACTCTGAGACAATCGGAGAGAAAAAAGATAGACGCCACTGAAATATTCTGTTGGAGACGAATGTTACGAATTCCTTGGACCAACCGTAGAATAAATAATTCAATTTTAAGAGAGCTAAAAGTTAGCCAACGACTCTCTAGTAAAGTCCATCTCCAACAATTAAAATATTTTGGGCATGTTATGAGAGCAAACACAGAAAACATGGAAAGACTCATAATACAAGGAAAGGTAGAAGGCCGAAGATCACGAGGAAGATCCCCAACAAGATGGATAGATCAAATTACAGGAATATGCCAAAGACCTATGCATGAATTAAAAGAAATGACCAGATACAGAGATCTTTGGAGATGAACAATACACGACATCACGTCGACCACTACACTCCCCCGGGGGGTCAGGATTGAAGAGAGAGAAATTAGACGGAAAAGTAATAAAAGCTCTTGAAGCTAGAACAAAAACAAGACATTCGTGTTGAACGATATCACATCGACCATACATAAACTCTAACCCAACTAAATACAAAAAGAATCGCTAGTAATATACCTTATCTTATATTTGTAAACAGTGCGAAAATAATTTGAAAGCAAATCTATTTTACAACGATTTTAAATAAAGAATACAACCAGTTTTCCGAGAATGTTATGGTTAATAGACAAGTCTGCAGTCTATCCTTACCACTCTTCAAAATCTATCTGAATAATGCACTGAAAAAAATAAGCAGATCATGTTCTGGAATTTGAAATATGTATACCATTAAACGGCGAAACAACCTGACATACACTACATTTTTCGGATGATCAAGAGGTTCTACCGTATTAAAAGAGATTAAAAATTCTACTCATAACTAAAAAAATATTTTCAAGACGTTGCCTTTGAAAGCTATCTTATTTCCGTGTTATATGTTATATATTCAGGGATTCTATAGCATTCACTGCCTTCCTCGCTCAACCGTTTCCTTCGCTCTCTGTCCCATTCTCCATTGTCTTCTTTTTCTCATGGCGTCGTCTACTTCGTTCTTCCTCCAGGATCTTCGGGGTCGTCCTCTTTTTATACTTCCTATGGGTCTCCATTCGGTTATTCTCTTTATCCATCCGCTCTCCCTAGTTCTTTTTACATGTCCATACTACTTTAGTCTTATTTATTCTATATATGTTAGTATGTCTGTTTCTATTAATGTACTTTGCTTTATTTCGCCATTACTTCTCTTATCCATTCTTGTTACTCTGCAGCATCTTCGCAGACATTCCATCTCTGTTGCTACTATCTTACTTATATTTTTCTTATGTATAATCAATTTTTAGCTCCATATGTGGTAATACTTCACATTAATTAAAATGGACAAAACTATAATTAAGTTAAAATATATCGAATAAGAATATATAATTTATAAAGAATGTAATATAACAATAAATGATAACTAAACGCCAAATCTATTGTACCAATGAGAATGTTATTAGTACCAGTTAAATATATAACAATATACAGTTAAAAGACAATAATTAGACAAAAATAATATACCATATACAATAAAAGTACATGCAAATACAAAAATAGAGAACACTTAAAAAAAAGAAATATAAATCTTATTTAAGCCTAAATTATTGACTTTTTCTGTACAAAAATACTAAGCTGAAATGCTGAAATTAATAATTTATGTAACGATTGAACTTTTCGAATTTTTTTCTGGTTCTATTGGCGATATTGAGATCCGTATTGTCTTTGTTAGAAATTACCTGTTTTTGGTGTTCCTTGATGTCTTAGTTTTTGATTTGATGTTAATTTTATTTCAGTCTGTTGTGGTTGTGATTTCTTGTATCCGTGTTTTTCCTGAGATGATGGGTTTACCGGTTGTTTGAGTTTCACGCCAGTTTTATGGGTAACTGGTGTTTGTAGTTGTGGACTTTCAACTTCTCGTTGGACTAAAGAAGTTATTGGGGGGCTAGGTTCACTTTGTGTACGATGCTCGCTTTGTTTTTCTTCTTCGGTGTGGTCTAGATATTTTAAATCTTCTATTGTATACTTTTTACCATTTACAAATAGAATATCTTTTTTAACGTAACAGTTTGGTTCGTTGCTTTCTTTGAATTTGAGTAGATTTTTTTTATAAGTTTGTGCTTTTGTCTTTGAATTTCTGTTTGGTCGTTAACAATGCTTATTTTTGAACCTTGTAGGTTTTTTTATTTTGGAAAATTAATTTTTTTGTGAGGTACGACAGAAACTCTATTTTAATTGGGGCAGATTTACCTCTTCCCAGTTTTATATATATTGTTTATATCACGCTCGTTTATTTTTATTTTTAATAGACTATTTGTCAACTCTAATACTACATGAAAGTCGAAGGTTTCATCTGTACTATCCAATCCAAATATGATAATATTGTTTTTTCTATTTTGTCTCTGAAGTAGTTTTATTTGTTGTCAATATCATTCACTTTTCGTTTAAATTCTTCGATTTTTAGTGAGAGTCTCACCTCGCTAGCATCGATTTTACTTAAAATTTCATTATTTCCTGCCTTTATAGCATCTTTCAGTTGTTTTAAATTTTCTGGTTCAAGTTGATGCATAATTTACAAATTTTCGTGCGTGACCACCTTTAGTTTGAATTCTTGTTTGGTATAAAAAAAGTTAGTAATTGATAAATTATTATTGTATCGTAGGTTAGGATTATTCTTGTTTTTAGCTTTTATCTCATTAGTTACTGGTTCAATCAGATTTATTATATCATTAACAAGTAGTGTAGTGAATATATATCAACTTACTGTTTGTTGCTTACAAATAACTTTGTAAGCAACAAACGCATTCACGTTTTCCCGCTTATATACAAGAAAATTGAGGCAGTAATGTAGCACCTTCTCTTCGAATTGATTTGGCAATGTTATTAAATGGCGAATGAACTGGGTGTAATAAGACAAGGTGATCGCCAACTAATTTTTTTGTCAAAAAGGATTCTCGATCTAAGAAACTTTGGAAAACCTGATTAGACTAATGGGAAGAATATAATTATCCTTCAATAATGGAGGAGCCACCGAAAACAGGACAAAAGTATACTAGACGATACTATAAAAATTCAGATGCAAGAAAATATAACAGAATAAAATCACAGCTTCTTAAAATTTTTGAGTTTAGCCTGATCTTTTATGAATCTCCTTTTTGTTCAAATATACGCAGATAAAACTCCGTAACAATAAAACACTGTAAACATTGTTTTCAAAATTTTCGAAACTTATTATTAACTCTTATCACTACATTAATGAAATAGGTTGAGGAGGGGAGAACTGTTTGTCTTAAGTTGGTCATTCAGAATTATATCTGTGTTTTTTAAATTGTTAATTTCCATAGATTCTAACAAATATAGCTTAAGGCCTTTATTTTGAATATGACGAATTTTAAATTCGTCATTAAAAGAATGATCATGATGTAGAAGGTGAAGTGCGTATGCAGAATCTGTTTTTCTATTATTCAAAGCCCTTTTATGTTCTGCTATTCATTTATTAAAGTTTTTACCAGTTTGACCGACGTAAGTTTTTGGGCAGGTGTCACAGACGCAGTTTGTATACACCACTAAGTGCTTTTTATTTTGGCTCTTATCTTATTAGACTTAAAAACAAACATGACTTCTCTATATTTTATAAACCCACCCATACTGACAGGAATATACACAATTCATCATCTGATTCCATACAACATAAACTGGCAGCCTATCATAGTACGTTATAATAGACTAATAGAAATTCCGATGTCAAAATACAACTTTGACGCAGAATTAAATGTCATTAAGCAAATAGCAGTAAACAGTGGATACAACCAACAAACAATTAACAAAATTTTAAATAAAAAACTACACAAGAAAGCCCTGAAATTAGCATTTGCACCACCAGAGGAAAAACCCAGTAACTTCTGCTCGATTACATATACAGGTAAAATATCAACAAAAATGGCCAAACACATAAAAAAGAAAGGAATAACACCATCTTTTTGAACAAATATCAACTTAGGCAAATATATTAAAAACAACAAGAGCCAAAATAAAAAGCACTTACACAGTGGTGTATACAAACTTAAATGTAATGACTGCCCAAAAACTTACATCGGTCAAACTGGTAGAAATTTTAATAAACGAATAGCAAAACATAAAAGGGCTTTCAATAATAGAAAAACAGATTCTACATACGCACTTCACCTTCTAGATCATAATCATTCTTTCAATGACGAATATAAAATTCTTCACATTCAAAATAAAGGCCTTAATTCTGAATGACCAACTTTAGGCAAACAGTTCTCCCCTCCTCAACCTATTCCAGTAAAGATTATAAAGTATAAACGCATGCCAAAAGTAGATCACTTGAGAAAAGCAATCAGCCTAAACAGCTGTAGTAATAAGAGTTTAATAAGTTTTGTGGAAGGTTTGAAAACAAAGTTGTCAGTATTTTATTGTTACATAAAATGCATTTTCATCATTGTTAAAACAATTGTATAAATTGTAAATATAAAAGTAAATATTACACTTAAATAAGTAAGTGTTAGTTTTTAGTATAGTATGACGAACCAAAATTTTATAATAACCAAAATACCAGAGATATTAATGCTATATTTTTTACGAGAACAAAAAGTAAAAGAATAAGAATAGTAGTTTTTCTAAGATTATCAGACTATATCCGTAATAGTTTTAAAGTGTGTAGCGAAATATGTCCGATGACTTGACAAGAATGGAGCACTAATTCCCACACAAAATTGTTGAACAGATTTAATAAATTATAACAATTTTCTCTAATTTCGCAGAAACTTTCTCACAAACATTTAAATATATATCTTAATGGTTCCACATATGTGTCAAACGTTTTCTTATAACAAAATATTGTTTAATTGTCTTGCGCGTTATCTTGCATCCTTAAGTAATTGCAGAAAAAACTATAGCAGATTTTACATTTTGAAATATTACGTATTAATAGAGAAGTCGAATAATGCATTATTCCGATATTAACTTATGCGGCACAAACATGGACAATCACAAAAAAGAATATGAATATACTTAGAGTCACTCAACACGCGATGGAAAGAGCAATGCTAGGTATATCACTTAAGGACAAGAAAACAAACACATGGATAAGACAGAAAACCAAAGTCACCGATCTGGTGCAAAAATCATTAAAGTTGAAATGGGAATACGCTGGACATGTAGCTAGGAGCGATCTAAACAAATGGCACAGATCAATTTTAACCTGGCGACCATACCAACACAAAAGACCCAAAGGCAGACCTCCTATGAGATGGACAGATGATCTGAAAAGGACTGCCGGGAAAAATTGGCTACAAGTAGCGTACAATAAAAATCAATGGAAAGGAAGACTTGAAGAGGCTTATGTTCAGATGTGGACGTGAATGGCTAGACGAAGAAGAAGAAGAATAGAGAAGTATAATAGAGAAGCTGTAAAATTAATATTGACATATGCCTCAGAAACAAGACCCGACACTGCCACAACGCAAAGGTTACTGGAAACTGCGAAGATAAGAGCACTGAGAAGCATTAACCCTTAACCGACGTCGTGGAGTCCCTCGGACTCCGCAGTTCAAACAACGCTTCATATTTTCCCCACTATTGATCCAAACGAGTAGTGTCGTACAATACCTTCAGGTAGTAGGGAGATCTCCGTTATGCTTACATGAAATTGCAATCAGTTGCGTAGAAGTTATCGAATAGAACGCATTACAGTCCGAGGTACTCTACGCCGTAGTTTGTGAAAGATTTCAATGGCGGTTTTTAAAAGTAAACAAAGTGTGCATCCAGACGATGCAAATTATGAAAAAAATGTTAGAAAGAGTATAGCTGATACAATCTTTGATCCCATTTTTTTCCATTAATTTCAAAAATAATCTAACTGGGCATAAACTTGAAAATAAACTTTTGCAAAATACGTAAAAAAGGTATTTCAGCCTCTAACAAATAAGGCAAATTAATATGACGACATATATGGATATTTAGACAGTCCTAATCAAATGAACCATTCACCCAAATGGCCAACTCATAACAAAGTAAAAACGTCTAATTAAAAATCGCATTCATGATCAAGTCGCATGGTCATGATCTGATAACGGCCAAAATATTACATAATCTACTCAGAAAAGGAACAGTAGGTCGAACACAAATCATAAACTCGATACTAAGAACAGGCTACTTTCTTGCATAATGACCGTTTGCAGAAATAATTACGATTCCAAAACCAGGAAAACCTTCACATAAGAAGAATTCCTACCGACCCATCAGCCTATTAAGAATTATGTGCCAAGTCGCAAACAGGTAGACTGATTACTGATACACAGAACAACAATAGATATACCTAATCATCAGTTCGGTTTTCTCAGAAAACACGGCACAACTAAACACGAGCATAGGGTGGCAGAAAAGATACAATGAGCCTTCCAGGAAAAGAGCTTTTGCAATGCCACTTTCCTGGATGTTAGTTAAGCATTTGACAAGGCCTGGCATCCAAGATTACGTTTCAAACTAAAGAAAGCAATATCTCAGCCTCTATACCCAATACTAAAATCATACCTCGAAGAAAGACTATTTTATGTAAGATACGAAGGAATTGTGTCTAATATGCACACCATGAGTGCAGGGATCCCGCAAGGCAGCATCTTGGGATCGATTCTCTACACAATCTTCACAGCTGATTTACTAACTGGAGAGGAACTCACAATCACAACATTCGCAAGTGATACTGCAATTCTGATTAAAAACAAGGAAGAAAAAAGGAAAGACAACATGTCAACCACACTCGATTTTAAGGAACGCCGATATTACAAACCAAAATAAACATCAAATCCTTAAGACAATAGTGGAAAGCCATTGTATGTCTCAGAGATGTGGGTGACAAATGGCAAATAAAATAAATGCAATAGAAATGATGATGTTTTGAAGAAGGAGTGACATGATAAACGGGATATGATAAACGGCAAATATACTGTATAAAGCCGTTGATAAATAATAAGTAAGTAAGTTGGCTTAAGTGGATATGCGCAAAATTTGCTTGCATTGCTTTTTAAATGAATTCACTTTTTTCGAATCATGATTTAAAATGACATGAAACCTAATAAGTATTTTTGAAAAATTTAAACGAAGAATTAAAGATTACATTATTATCGAGGGCGATAAGTCCCTAAAAACCTCTATAAGATCTGTTTGGATAAGTTACTAGGATGAGAAAAAAAGAAGAAAATTGAGTGTAATTTTAATTTCAAATATCTTATTCAAAAGAAACCTTTTATTTATAAGTAACTTTCGGCCATCGGTAATAATATAATGTTTTAATCTGCTTTTAAATTTTTCAAAAATATTTATTAGTTTTTTCAGGATTCGAAAAAAAAAATGCATTAAAAAGCATTGCAAGCAAATTTTGCGCTTACGCTTTTAAATCGTATTATTTTAGTGTAGATCTATATCTACTGTATTTTTGTACAATTCCTTAAGGACCACCCTACATATAGAAAACAATAAATCAGTTCTAGATAATGAAATCATTTGCAACATTTTATTCAAGGCAATAAATATCGTCAATTGAAAATT